AGTTTCAAACTGAGGTGATGGCCTGGAGGTTGAATCAGGGTCATGGGTGTGGAGAGAAGGGATTGGAAACAAAAGATATTTGGTAGACAGAGCGCACAGCACATGGAGTAGATGAGGGTGAGTGAGTGTCATCAGATGTGTAGTCGGTGGGGAGAGGGATCTGGTGTGGTGTGTGTCAGGCTACGTTTCCTAGACACAGGCTCTGGATGATCTCTGGAGACCCACCTGTGAGCGAGTGAGCAAGGCAGGAATAGACAGAAAAAGTTACACAGTGCTGTGGAGACAGAGGCCTCTGCCCATTTGCAGGGAGCTCTGGAGCTGGGATGGCCCTTCACAACTGGCCCAGATTAAGGTGAGAGGGCCAAGCCTTTGTATCTCTACATCAGCCAGATGCTGGCTGCTCCTTGAGAGGGGGTGTAAACTTAGGCAAGACAGTTCCCAAGAACTGGCACGAGATGGTAGCCATGGCAATAGGCGGGGAGGGACTCAGCTGTGAGTAGTCAGCAAGCCAGTATGCTCAGCAGCAAGGGGATGGGGATGGGGGCATATACTCTGAAGAGAGGCTCTAGACAAAGCACTATACTGTCCACTACAGTGGCAAAAGATCTTCTGTTTACTTTAGGACATGCTTCCTTTCAGGGGCCTGTGAGTTTATTATCCTTTCCTTAGTTCACAAATAACTAGTTAATTTTAACGGTGGGAGGTACAAGGCATTTTGCTAACTGGTGAGGATGATGGGAGTGCTGAGGGCAGAGGTAGAGATGAAGATTCATATATGTAATGCTCAGGTAGCCTCTCTACTGTAGGGGACCAATGAAATCTCTTCTCAGGTGGAACTGAGTCCAAAATAGCTGCATGTTCCCTTCTCCTCCTTAAAAGATTAAGCTTGACTGCTTTTCCTTTTCTCAGATACATTCCCTTCTCTTCTTTCTGTTCCCCTCCTGTTGAGAGTAAGAAACAAGCTCAAACACCAGCTCCTTTTAAAGATGCACAGACACAATGTGAAAGTTACAAATAATTAGGAAATCTTACAAAGTTCTTAACAGGAGTTGTCCTTTGGCTCATGATTCCCAAAGATGATTCTGTGTTGGTATCCTAAACTCCATGCTTTTGGCTCTTTGATTTTCTAAAGTTCATAAAACAACATTTTCCTCAGTCCCTCCCTTCTCTTTCCTTGGGCAAGACTGGCTTTCCAGCATTTAGATCTAAAGAGATAGGAGGAGATGAAACTAGTGGATCCATCCCAGTAGCCAGGACTTAGGAGATACTCAAATATCTAGAGGTCTCCTAAATAATGGCCAACTTTGAACTGTTAATTGAACAGGGAGGCTATTGGGCTGAGGTGGCTTTAAGGGTGGCCTATCTAAGCCAATGAAAATCTAGGTCTGTAAATATCTGGAAGTTACATAATGAAAATGCTAAGGACAGCCAATCACAAACTGTCAATGAAGCTTTAATCAGCCAATCAAATAACTTCCTTTCTTTGCCTGCACACCTTCTCAGTGTCTTTTCCTGGCTCCTGTAGGTCGAGTGTGCCCAACCACTCCCGCTTTGGCGCTGCGCAAATCAAGTAGATTTTTGCTCAGATGAGCTTTTAAAATTTTTCTATGCCTTATTTTAACTTTTAACAGAACACAATCACCACCCCTCAGGTATCTGAGTGAAAGGCCTTTGCAGGCATTTCCAAAATGAGGCTCAGGAAAGGAGAGGTGGCTTTGATACTGAAAATCTATTTATGTGATCACTAACAAAGGAAAAGGGGAATCCTTTCTTAGGCCTCCCCTCAGTCTAGTTCTGGTAGGCTAATAATAATTTATCTGGTTGTGATTTCAAGTTTTGTTTTTAGAAACACGCAAAAAACCGACTCTATTGGGATTTGGGTGTTAAAAAGATGGATTATTTTTCCTTTTCTTTGCTGGCCCCTCAGCTGCAGATCTTTATAATGCTAGTGTCAAACAGGGTTAATAATTCCTTTAAAAACAAGCCAACAAATTTAACATTAAATTCCCTATAAACACCTAGACCTAGCTTAAGTTTTGAGCTAAAAAATGTGTAACTCAAGTCACGGGGGCTGTCAGTTTAGGAATGGTTTGCAAGGCCTTTTGATAGCGAGATAAGGGCTTCTCTTTGTGTTTTTCTTTTCCTCAAAGAGCACACCTTTTGTGCTCTCAGCCTAACAAAGAAATCTCTCAATTTCATAGTGGAATTCGGAGGGAACATATGATGTGTGCACTGATATCTATATGTGCCTGCAAAGCCAGTTTCAAACCACAAAAGGATTAAAAAAAAAAAAAGCTTGTATTTTGCATTACACTGATTGGAAACACTAAGACATTGAGAGCAATAAAAACAGCAACAACCAGATCCCAAAGGATTTGAATTCCTTTAGTTTCCATTTGGCATAAGAATAGTATGATTTCTTTGTTCTGCCCTTTCTTATCTTCAACACTCAAACAATGTCATTTTTGTAGTGGAGTAAAGACTTCTGCTGCCTAAAGCAGAATGATGCCCAAGGTAGTCTTACATATGTAGAATAATATAATTAATCTTTGTATTGATTTTTTTTTGAAAGAGGGGTAGTGTCATCTTTTTTTTTTAAAAATTAAACACTAAAAAGTGTTTCCTTCTGCTGTGAAATTCAATCATTTCTTAGAATGGACAAAGATGGGTGCTTTGCCTTTTAACTCTTGGTCTACCTGGTAAAGCGGTTTCTCTGCATTCTTCTTAGTAAAAATAGACTTGAGATCATTTGCAATAAATTACTATTTTTTGCTTTGGGTTGTTATGGTTTTTAAAAGCAGATGCAGTGTTATCTGTTGCCTGTGTGTGCACAGGATGAATTGTGCTTTCGAGCTAATTTTCTCCAGCCGAGGCTTGACCAAAACACTGGATTCTATAAAAAGCTCTGCTCCAAAAGTATCTGGCATTGTAAAGCTACAAGGCAGTTCTAAGACCCAAGACTCTTTATGATAAGCCACTGCAGAATTCAGTTTTGGTAGCACACTTGTAACCATTCAAACACTGCTGTGTAGCGCTTTCAGCTCTTGAAGCGAAGGGAATGGGGGAGGGGCAAGAGAGAATTGTAAGTAAACAAAGACTCCAAACCCAGAAAACCTCGGATTTACGTTGGTATGTACCTTATGAAATTCTAATATATTGTAACCATGTATAGTGTCATCAAGATTTCAGATAATCAGGTCCTAGTATACGTTCCAAGGCATGTAATATTTTTACATGCATACTAATAAAGGCCCACCTTTGAGAAGAAAAAAAGGCCTCCTTTCAAATGAAGTCAAGCCCAGGTGAAGTTGAAACTCAACCCACACAACACTGGCACCGTTTTCAGGCTAAAAGATGCTGAGAGTTTCAATTTCTTCATCTTACAACATGGATGAATGTGATGCCTGGCTGGCAAAATTTGTAGATTTACATAGGTTGTTCTAAACACCACCGGTAAATATGTGTGCCAATTTATGTGCAACTCAAGACAATTTGCTGTGTGAAATTAAAGACCAACACCTCTTCCGGGAGTCAATCATTCGGTTCATTTACATGAAAAGTCCTCAACGGCAAAAAATGCTACTAATTTACATCACAGTGTCCCCAGAACAGAGAACAATGGCTTCCTCAATGGAAGTTAATGCAAAAGAGGCATTTTGAGATTAAAAAAACCTTGAGTACATTTTGCAAATATGAAGCAATCAATCAAATTTAAAATAAAACACACAGAAACGCTTCCCATGCTGGGAGCCTTCACGGCTACTTCAGCAATATTGGTTATCTTTAGAATCCCATCAAACGGGTGAGCCTTTTTAAGAGGGTCTGGTGACATTGTTTTCAGGTCCTTCCATTTTGTTCTATTTCCAGGGTAAGCACAATTAGCTTGACTTGGGGTTTCTCTTTCCTTATAAAAAGCCTTTCAATTGAATGTCCGTCTGTCAATGATGGAGGAATCAGGACACAGGGCTGGATAAATAGCATACCTGGGTGGCGGTAATATATTCTCCCTCGATGTGTTAACGATTTTTACACCTTTGTGGTCTTTACGGGGGTTTATGTATGTTATCTTTTTGTGTTCTGGAGGGCTGTGATCACCTGCTGTATGTACAACATGTGTTTGTTACATTTGTACACCATCTCCCTTCTTGAATTTAAACACCTAGCTATTACATCTTGTTTACTCAGTATCATCCCCCCATTCGGAAAAGAAAAAAAAACTGCAAGAACTGAACATGCCATGTTTCAATCTGGCCCCAGTGGCTTTTTCTCTGAGAGCAAAACGTGTGTCTTTTACACCAGGGCTTTCTCCCCACCCCAGGGGGTGTCTTCCATTCTTTTGTGGCTCAGTTTAAGGCGAAAAGGGCTCCAAACCACTAACTAAGCAGAAGGGAGCCCCTTCTTCCACCTGCAGGGAGAATTTCAGGTTTAATTTATCTGAAGATAGCGTGCTCTCTTCTTATTTGCCACCATTACGAGGATAACAAAACACCACCTTGGCTTCAAGATCCTGGTGGAGGCTCACGGGCTTTCTCAACCATCTTTGGCGAGGCCTTGCTTCCTTCCACTCGAGTAAGTTGCGGCTTGGGGCCACGGAAAGGACTGGGTGAGAGCCTGAAATGTCGTTTGAAAAAAAAGAAGCCCTCCCTCCATCCCCTCAGCACCACCAGCCCGCTCTCCGGGGCGAAGTTGCAGTCCAGCAGCCCCGTACGGGGGACACCCGGCAGGTCCGCGGGGCTCTCTCCCCGGCCGCGGTCGGCACCGGCCGGGCGTCCGCGCCCCCGGCCGCGGGGCTTCGCGCTCCCGCCGCCCCGCCGCCCGAGTCCTCCCTCCCCCCGGCGGCCGCCCCCTCCCCCTCTCCCGCGCTCCCTTTTGTTCGCTCGCCGCTCGGGCCGGGCCGCCGCCGCCGGGCCCGCACCCCCAGCCTAGGCCCCGGCGTGGCGGGCCGCCCCGCCGCCGCCGCCGCGCGGCCTAGAGCGCGCCGCCCGGGGAGGCGCGGGGCCCGGGCCGGGCGCACGGCGAGGCCGCGGCGGCGGGGCGGCCCGGGAGCTCGGGAAGCGGCGGCAGCGGCGGCGGCGGCGAGGCCGCTCCACCGCACACGCACACACAGACCCCGGCAGCGGGAACGCAGATGACACGCCCGTAGCATGGAAGCCGCCGCCGCCGCCGCCGCTACGACGACAGCAGCCGCAGCCACAGCAGCAGCAGCCGGCGGCGCCGCGCTGAACAAAGGTCATCCGAGCTGCGGCCCGGACGCCCGGGCTTGACCGCTGCGAAGGCCAACCCCGGGAAGGGGGTGGGTGTGCGCCCGGGGGGCCGGGGGCGGCGGGCGCGGGGTCGGGGCGAGCGAGGGGCGCAGCGCAGCGGAGGAAGGGGCGCGGGCGGGCGCCGAGGGAGGCGGGGGCCGGCCCCTCGTGCCACCCCTGCGGGTTCGGGTGAGCGCGTGAGGCTCAGGCCCCTGGCCGACTGCAGTGGCCTGTCCCACCCTGGCCCTGGGGACAGCTGGCCTTCGCGCCCCACCAGCTTCTTTGGGGGGCCTGAGGACGAGCCGGCTTACTAGGCCCCACAGGTTCAGAGAGGGGGGCCACGTGAGCGCAGGAGCGCGCTTCCTGCCCCCTCCAGGCTGGCTGTGCACAGAGGGCTTTTAAAAGGCCTGTGCGCCCCTCTTTCTCACTGCCTTTTAATTTGCCCCCTACCCCACCCCTGGCATCCCTACTTTTCTACCCTGAGGTGAGGGGGTTTGGACTTCTCCCCCCAGGTGCTTGAAAGAAGAGAAGGTTGGAGGAGGAGGAGACTGGGGGGGCTGCTGGTGGTGGTGACAGGGCTGGGAGAGAGTGGAGAGCTACGGAGGAGGGGGCTGGGTGGGGTGGGGGTGACAGGCACAGAGAAGCCTGGTCAACAAGCCAGCACCACTCTGCTAGGAGGCCGAGGCCGGCTCCCGCAGCCGACGCATCCAGTGTGAGCAGACACACATAGATTGCTTTCTTGGGGGCTCTTTGTCAGCCACCAACACAGAGAACACACACTGACACACACGTACACAAAGATCTGAGCCAGGTTGTGGGAGGTAAGTGGGGAAGGAGAAGGAGGGGGAAACAGTGTCTGCGGTGGGCTTTAGGGTGGCGGGGCGGGGGGATGGGCCTTGAGGGGCGCTGGGGTGCATATCCAAGACTGTGTGCTTGTGTGGTGGTGGTGGTGGGGGGGGACACACGATGACCTTACCCTCCTCACGAAGACCTTACACAGAAAAGCAACCCCCAGTGAGATCCCCCTCTGCTGATGATTTTCAGGGACTTGTTGGCAACTCAGCGAGGGTTGCCATAGCTTTTTTATGTAGGGTGACCAGAACCGGCTGAAACTGGTTTGAGGCAGATCAGCTCCTGAACACAATGCAGTCACTGAGCTACTACAGTGGGATAGCAGCTTCCTTCATGGCAGCCAAAAGCAGAGGAGCTTGCAGGAAGGTACCATCCCAACACAGTATGTGAATGTACACTTAGACACCACACAGCACTGGTACGTGACTAATGGAGCCCTAAGAGATTCTGTGTAGAGAAGATGGAAAAAAATGTGCAGGTTTGCAAGGTCTGAGATTACTTGGGCTTTTCCTGCCTTTTTCTTTTGCTTAAGGGATGGACAAGGAGCTGAGATTTATGACCCTTATTAAAGCAAAAAATGTGCCTTGCTAGGGTGGGGACACTTGGTTTATGCAGTGTCTCTTTCTCTGTGTTTCTAACAAAACAAAACCAAAATGAACTGATGGATTTGTAATTGATGGGTGTTGCTGGAGAATTCTACTTTGCATGCTTTTTTTCTCTTGCAGGGTATGTTCTGTTTTGTGCACTCCACCGCACACGCACACACAGACCCCGGCAGCGGGAACGCAGATGACACGCCCGTAGCATGGAAGCCGCCGCCGCCGCCGCCGCTACGACGACAGCAGCCACAGCAGCAGCAGCCGGCGGCGCCGCGCTGAACAAAGGTCATCCGAGCTGCGGCCCGGACGCCCGGGCTTGACCGCTGCGAAGGCCAACCCCGGGAAGGGGGTGGGTGTGCGCCCGGGGGGCCGGGGGCGGCGGGCGCGGGGTCGGGGCGAGCGAGGGGCGCAGCGCAGCGGAGGAAGGGGCGCGGGCGGGCGCCGAGGGAGGCGGGGGCCGGCCCCTCGTGCCACCCCTGCGGGTTCGGGTGAGCGCGTGAGGCTCAGGCCCCTGGCCGACTGCAGTGGCCTGTCCCACCCTGGCCCTGGGGACAGCTGGCCTTCGCGCCCCACCAGCTTCTTTGGGGGGCCTGAGGACGAGCCGGCTTACTAGGCCCCACAGGTTCAGAGAGGGGGGCCACGTGAGCGCAGGAGCGCGCTTCCTGCCCCCTCCAGGCTGGCTGTGCACAGAGGGCTTTTAAAAGGCCTGTGCGCCCCTCTTTCTCACTGCCTTTTAATTTGCCCCCTACCCCACCCCTGGCATCCCTACTTTTCTACCCTGAGGTGAGGGGGTTTGGACTTCTCCCCCCAGGTGCTTGAAAGAAGAGAAGGTTGGAGGAGGAGGAGACTGGGGGGGCTGCTGGTGGTGGTGACAGGGCTGGGAGAGAGTGGAGAGCTACGGAGGAGGGGGCTGGGTGGGGTGGGGGTGACAGGCACAGAGAAGCCTGGTCAACAAGCCAGCACCACTCTGCTAGGAGGCCGAGGCCGGCTCCCGCAGCCGACGCATCCAGTGTGAGCAGACACACATAGATTGCTTTCTTGGGGGCTCTTTGTCAGCCACCAACACAGAGAACACACACTGACACACACGTACACAAAGATCTGAGCCAGGTTGTGGGAGGTAAGTGGGGAAGGAGAAGGAGGGGGAAACAGTGTCTGCGGTGGGCTTTAGGGTGGCGGGGCGGGGGGATGGGCCTTGAGGGGCGCTGGGGTGCATATCCAAGACTGTGTGCTTGTGTGGTGGTGGTGGTGGTGGGGGACACACGATGACCTTACCCTCCTCACGAAGACCTTACACAGAAAAGCAACCCCCAGTGAGATCCCCCTCTGCTGATGATTTTCAGGGACTTGTTGGCAACTCAGCGAGGGTTGCCATAGCTTTTTTATGTAGGGTGACCAGAACCGGCTGAAACTGGTTTGAGGCAGATCAGCTCCTGAACACAATGCAGTCACTGAGCTACTACAGTGGGATAGCAGCTTCCTTCATGGCAGCCAAAAGCAGAGGAGCTTGCAGGAAGGTACCATCCCAACACAGTATGTGAATGTACACTTAGACACCACACAGCACTGGTACGTGACTAATGGAGCCCTAAGAGATTCTGTGTAGAGAAGATGGAAAAAAATGTGCAGGTTTGCAAGGTCTGAGATTACTTGGGCTTTTCCTGCCTTTTTCTTTTGCTTAAGGGATGGACAAGGAGCTGAGATTTATGACCCTTATTAAAGCAAAAAATGTGCCTTGCTAGGGTGGGGACACTTGGTTTATGCAGTGTCTCTTTCTCTGTGTTTCTAACAAAACAAAACCAAAATGAACTGATGGATTTGTAATTGATGGGTGTTGCTGGAGAATTCTACTTTGCATGCTTTTTTTCTCTTGCAGGGTATGTTCTGTTTTGTGCTTTTTCTTTTAGAAGCTACTAAAGGGTGTTGGGGATACTTCTGACTATTATGAAGGCCAAAAGGTAACAATATTGTTCTAGGAAATGCGCATAAATGCAATCCAGTGATGCTGTAAGGCATACATGCTGTCTTTTTTTTCCTTGTAGGCCTGTTGACTGGGGCTGCTTTTAACCCTTTCATATTTGCAGAGAATGCGACCGTGTGACAGTAACTGAACATTGGTCCAGAGTCTTCCCAAAAGGTCAAGGTTCAGAAGGTGAGATACGATATTTTGAGCATGAATTTCAGTGTTTATTTGGAGATCCACTCAGACACAGACTGATAGTGAATTGATACCCTGGAGAAAATACCGGGTTCAGAGTGGAGAAGAAAAACTCTGTATGTTATCCAACTTTAATGGGGTTAGAGTGACATTATGATGGTATTGCTATGAAGGCGAAATCAGAATGACTTCATTGAATCGTATGTGTCTAGTCATTTAGAAGAGTCAGGCCTGGAAAGAAGCAAGTTTAGAGAATGTAGGCATCAGGGCCTTGTGGAGAGCGTACTGTTTTGCATAAGACTAAAACCAGTACGCATGGAGCATTTTCCCAATGATGACAAAAAAGGGAAGGACTTCGCCAAATCGAGGCAGCCTAGCCACCTTTTTAGGATATGAGGAGTCTGCAGGTAGAGTTGCCTTTTGTTCATTCATCACCTTGCTTTTTTACCTTGCTCTCTGTGTTAACCTGAGAGGGTTTTCACTCTGAGTCAAGTGGTGGAATGGCTTTTATTGATTTTGGGGCTGTTGACGGGGAGTTTGCCATTGGATTATTTGTGGCATACATTTTCATGTGGAATGCTAATGCAATACCAGGAGGAAATGGGGTATTCTGGCTTCATCTGTGAAAAGACGCCTGTTAACTCAAAGCTTTACAGCAGTGGCTGTTAGAAAATGTCGAATGCCTTAAGAGATTGCAGTTAGATTTGAGGTGGCATTTTTATGCACCCTCCCAAACCAGAGGTTTTAGAGAAGAGAAAAGAAAGCAGTAATGAGTGTAGTAGCCAAGTAAAGAACAAAGGCAGCAGAGCTTACAGGGAAACACTCAACATTTTGCCTTGGGGTTCCTTGTGAAAAGGACTGCAACTTCCCCAAACAGGAAACCAACAGCTCCAGAATCTGATCCAACATGATCTCAACAACAGAACTAGTTCTGTCTTCTGGTTTGGTAAAAGTACAGTCAAGAGGAGCCCATAGAAGACATGACTGAAAATAAATTTTCTCCCCCACTTTGAAGAGGGCGTTTTATTCCTCTTTGCCTTCAGCAGAATAGGGGCTTTTCAGAAATGGCGAGGATCTTAGAATTGGTTAAGTTGTGTGCTGGCCGTGGGTGGCAGAATACCTGCAGTGAAGGGTGTCAAGTATGCAAGGTTTTTTATTGTTAAAATTTTTTGCATATAATTGCAGAGCATCCAGTGTGTGATAAAACTGCAAAGGGGAAAGGAGTGCATGGTTTGCTCAGAATATGCTGTGTAGTATTTAATAGAGAGAAATGTAATCTCGGACTGATATACCAGTAAATAGCTTACATGGTGGAACAAAATTCTTTAACAAATCACACTGTGCTAAAATTGGTTTTCGATTCTACATGATTTTTGACTGCCAGAGATTCTGTGTCTGAGTGTTGCAGAAATCTGCTTGCAAAGCAGATCCCAGTCCATGTTGCATGATCTGCTGCTCTTGCTTTTCTGGTGCCAACTAAAACTCAGATGGCTAATGTGATAAACCTTAATTAGCTTAATACAATAAGCTGTTTTATAATTTAGTCCTTAGCTCCTGTCTTGAGAAAGTCAGTGATTTTTATTTAACTTTGACAGCAAACCCTCTGCAATGAACATTTCTTGATAATAGGTTTTAAAAGCCCTTTTTGTAAGGCACTGCATGTCACAGAATGTTCTGGTTTACTCTCACTGTGGTTTTTAGCTTTGTTGCTCCTCCTCCCCCCACAGAAGGCTCCTGGAAAATAGCATTTGTTTTGCATTTAGGCCAGTCTTTCCAGCTGCAAATGCTGTTTAAGGTTGGAGAGCTGGTTCTCCAGGGCAGCAATCAGGAGCTCATCTTGGATTGGGTTTGTCTCAGGTGGCGATCTCATGCTGCGGTGTAACAATGTAGCAGGCCCAGGTTTCACGAGAGTTTTCTGGGCTTGGGAATGGGAATGTGAGTGCAGAGAATGAGCAACAGCCTTCTCTTTCCTGGAAGAGCCAGGAAGGAATAGGGTGGCACTCACACTTGTGGCCGGGGCCTGTGTGTTGCAGTCGCTGTCGCCATCCTGGCAGCCACACCTGGAGCCGGGATTGCCCCGCAGGCAGGCAGGCTCCCGGGGCCAGCAGCCGGCTGTCCCCTCTGCGGGAGGAAGGTGTGGATTTGGCTGATGAGGGTACCCTGGAAAGAAAGTTGTCACTAGGTGTTGAACCTTTGCTTGTTTTTATCATTTGCCTACTTAAGAGTCATTTTTTCCATGTTAAAGAACATTGGATCCAGGGCTTTTAGGACTCTTGAGCCTCCTGGGTCGGGAGAGGCTTGCGGGCTCTTTTTGCTCCTCCCTCTTCTCAACAAAGGGATTCCCTGCCCCCACCCACCTTAATTCCTTTTAAAGGACGTCTAGGAAGGAGACAGGCAATAGTAAATGGACTTTTCTGCTTATACCTTTGACTGTGATGAGTTAGGAATTTAGAATTTGCAGGCTCCCGTTCCCCTTTATTTCTTCCCTTCACATGCTTTATTGGGCTTTGCTGCGGGGCGAGTCCTCCCCCTGGTTTTGAACAGCTTTTCCCATGTCCGGGCTAGAACTCCATCTGGCTGTTGACCGCTGGCTCAGAGGTTGCCCTGATGTGGACCCTCATGAAGGTCGCCAGTACAAGGGAAACTGGGAAAGACTGCACTGCTCCCTCCTCATTCCCGAACCATCTCTTCCTAGTGAATATGATACACCACCAACAGAGAGTCACAGCAGCCACAGAAAACATGAAAGAAATCTGCACCTTTGTGTCCTGGTTAAATGGTTAACTTTTTTTAACTTTAAAACATGCATGAGTAAAATTTACTCCTTGGTGTGACCAGTGTAGAGTGCTAGTGTTGGCTGCTGCTGTCTGTAGGGAATAGTTCCATCAGCCCCTAAACTTTCCTTTTGCTGTGTCCCTCTGTGGTCAGACTCTTCTCACCCCAGCTGTCCCCTGGTTGGTTCTGTCAGTGTTACTTGGTCTTTCCCGGGGTGTCATATAAATGGCTTCCTTCACTTAGCAAGGTGCATTTTGATGCATCCATATTGTGTGTATCCATACTGTTTTACTGCTTGAGTTGTAGACTCCTGTATGGATGTACCACAGTTTATTTATCCCCTCCCTAGTTGAGAGACATTAGGGTTTCCGGTTTTTTGGTGATTCTGAATAATGCTGCTTATAAACATTGCCTATATGCTTTTGTCTAAGCATAAGTCTTTAGGGTCTCTTCAGTAAATACTTAGGAGTGCGATGGCTGGGTCATATGGGAAGTACACAAGAATTAGAAGTTGAATGAAAATAAATTCAGCTCCTTCATAGCCTTGTCAGCTGCAGCAGTTAAGACTTCCCAAGTAAGAGATGGTAGCAGACGTTATCTGAAGACACATGCAGTGATCGCAATAATAGACCGCTCACTTCACGGGATGACGTGCTTTATAACCCAGAACTAATTGAAATTAGCCAAAAGTAGACACAAAGAAGTACAAGTGGTAAAATATCCTTTATATCCTACAGCATTTATTTTTAAGCTCTTCAAGAAACATTTGGTGGTTTAATTTTTACATTTGTCCCAAGTTCAGTAAAACACCAAACAGTCATAGAATCGAAATTTTGGAAAGTGGTACCAAAGATCTTCATTAAAATTTTAGTTGCGTACACAACTTCTTAACTAACTAAAATTAATATGAATTACTGACTGTCCAAATACTGGTGGTGTTTTAGTATTTGAAGTTATTATTCAGCTTTCATGCTTTTTAAGGAAGTGAAAATATTTAAGCAATATCCAAGCAATGAAGTAGGGAGATTAGAGGAGTTTTTTTTTTTTTTTTAAGAGGATAAGATAACATTCAGGATTGGGAAGAACACATAGACCAAGGTTCTGGTGATGTAAATCAGGAGAGCCTGAGAAGTGGGAAATGAAGTTTATTTGGGGATTATTTCATCCATTTAACAGATACTGAGTGTTTACTAAATACCGGACGTGCTAGGCACTGGGAGTACCAAGGGAAAAGAAATCCAGAGAGAAAAATCTGGTGGGAAGTAGCATACAGATGCTATGACAGGAATGTGATGGGCCACCTCATGCCAAGTGTTGAGGGAGGAGCCCTTGAAGAAGTGGCTTCTGAGCAGCACCAGGAAAGACCAGAGAGTATGTAAGGCAGGCAGAGGGGTGGGGGATGAGCACATAGGGAAAGGCACTGAGCGGCCTCAGTGTTGCAAGTAGGGATGGGAGAGTTGGGGGTGGGGTGGGAGAAAAGGAGATGAAGCTAGGAGGCAGGCAAAGGCCAGACTTCTGAAGGTCATTTTATACAGTCCATTCGAGTGTGGACTTTCCTTATGTAGGCAGTATAGACAGAAAGGCTTACTTTTAATGACCAAGGTCCTGGGGCATTACAGTAAGGATGGAGAGGAGGCTATTGCTGGAGGCGGGGAGGTCTAGTGAAGGGACCATCATACGCAGCAATCAGGAGAGAAGAGGAGGGCTTGGTCTGAGGCAGTGCAGTGGATGGAGTGGGAGGGGGCAGGTTGTGTGTGTGTGTGTGTGTGTGGTAGTGGTGGTGCCCAATGGAGTGGGAGAGGGCAGGGCTGTGTGTGTGTGTGTGGTAGTAGGGGTGCCCGATGGAG